TACAGTACTTTTATCAGTAAGCTAAGATGCTACTTTTTAAATATACAGATAATATAAATCTTCATGGATATAGAATATAATTAATGATTCCAGATAAAAGCATTGAGAGAAATTATTGATTGAATTAAATCAAAATAAGAGCTAACTCATGGGAAAAACTATAAATTTTTATGTTGAGTATCAGACAAATTAAGTACATTTAAATAGTACACAAATATTACTATTAATTTTAAGTTTGTGTTGGATTTTTGGTTAACTCTAAATCTAACTTGAAATACTACTGCTGTTAAATGTGGTGGCACGTGCCTGTAATCTCAGCAGTCAAGAGGCAAGAAGAATATTGCATTAAGTTTGAAAGCCAGTCTGTGGTAAATAGTGAGTTCTAGGCCAGCCAGGACTAAAGAATGAGGGCTAGTCTCAAACGAGAGCAGGTAGGGGAAAGAACGAAAAGACGGGGAAAAGAGAAAGGATCAGGAGGGAAGGAATAAAATGAAGAAAGAAGGGAAGAGGAAAGGACACTTAGATACCAGAACTAAGAGGCAATTGTCTTAGTTAGGAGCACTTGCTGCCCTTGCAGAGGACCTGGGCTTGGGTCCTGCTTTCCCCCATGGTGGCTCACAACCATATGAAAGTCCAGTTCCAGAGATGTGACAACTCCTTTCATGTCACAGGCTCATGGATGCACATGGTTCACATACACACTTTCGGGCACACATGCATACATATAAAATAAATAATTGTAAGTGCTAAGATGCCCTTAGTCCTCAATGGTAAAAGCATGGATCTGGTATGAGGTAATTAACAACAAATTAAACATGCAAAATGATAGAATAAAAAATAATCTCAGGGTTACTAGCCCAGAGTGCTCACAGTGAGGCATACCATTTGCTAAGGTCTTTTTTTAAGGAAGAATAGAAGATTCAAGAAGATGAAAATCAACAGTTTTGCTTTGGGCATATTAAATTTGAAATAGCAAATAGGTTGAGAAATTACTGAGTTGAATAAGTACATCTGGAGAACTCATGAGAAGGCAAGACAGGATCTTCAGTACACTCCTTGGTCCTTAGTCAAAGAGGATTCCCTGTTCTCTTTTCCCTTCTCCCATGACATTTTCCAATATCCGTAGATGTCTTAAATTGTCGTTTTTTAGTTGAGGGAGCTAGTGTCCAGTTATTGGAAGTTAAGGGTTCTGTCAAGCCATCCTACAACGCATAAGACAGCTCCTCACAACAAAGAGTAATCTAACTTACATGTCAGTGCTGTTGGATTTGGTGCATTTAGAGCAGTCATCTCAGGAGAAGAAATTAGAGATTGGGCAGTGAGGAGGAGAAACCAGTGAAAAGACATGAACCCATGAGTGCCTAGCCCCGAGAGGACAAGAGGTGTTCACAGTGAGGATGAATGTCATGATGTGCGTAAGGCAGCTAGGAAAGTGTCGGCAGAGGAGCCTGCTCAGCTGTGTCAGGTTGCTGGTTAGAGTCAGATCAGAACCACGGTTTTGTTGAGGCGCAGTTGTGTTGTGATCTCGATAGGGCTTGTCTTGGTGGATGGGGAGGTTAAAAGAGGAGGGGCAGAAAGTGAATGGTAAGAGTGTGAACAACTTTTGAGATTTTCTAGAAAGGAAAGCTGCTACCATGCTTGTGAGAGTTACCCATTGGAAAGGGAGGAAATAGAAACACAGCAGAAACAGGACACAACTTGGGCCCTATATAAATAAGGTAAAGGATGGTTTCTGTGCACTCATGAAATGACTGGGACGATGACAGATATTGGACAATTTTTAATAAGATATTAATTACCTAGGGGTATGTGCAGCATTGTGGGATACAATGTTTCTGATTGCTCCTGGATGTAGCTAAGCAGGAGTGTGGAGAACTGAGGTTCTGGAGATTAAGGACAGAGTGCTGAGGCTTGAACAGTCCTGCCTGGCTCTGAGAAGGTGAGTAGAATATGTAACTAAGCCATCTTGCACTGTAGTTTGAGTCTTAGATTTAGAGTGTGGTCCATGGAGTTGGTTTACCTTCTCACATCAGGGTGTTAACCAAGAATGCCATCTTCCTCTGCATGAATCCTTTCATCCTAGACTTTCTACCCCCTTGTGTATAAAATTGATAGACAACCCAGGCCCAATTTAAAGTCAGGTACATGGATGTCATAACTTTATGGAATCTAAGAAAGTGTGGAAATATTCAGTGACCCCAGTAAGATTGAGTGAAAGGTAGTAGAATTGGGCAGTTGCTAAAACTCCTAAAATTGCCGTCAGAGCAACAGGAGAGCTAGAAAGTGAGAGTGGGTGCCTAAGACCACCTTCTAGAATAAGGCTCTCGTGTAACAACAAGATAAACCATGTAACCACAGAAAATGTAGACAAGTGACCCTGGAAGATGAGGTCTGAGGGGAGTGGAGGTCCAGGGAATCAGAGACTTGTCTGTTTCAGGAACTGAGAGTGATTACAGGGGTCAGTCAGTAGCAGTGAGCATGCTCAGTGTCTTGGTCTTGACCTCTAATCCCGCTTCCCATTAAAAGCAACCAGAACCCCTTGTAGATTCGATGGATCCCAAATAAAAGCATATTATCAATGTAGATTTTCAAAGTCAATAACAGAATTATAGTTTTGTAAGAGAATGTCCCATCTTAAGAAAGATACATCCTAATAGATTTCAGGGTAAAGGACCATAATGTATGTATGATTCAGAAAATAGATTATCAATCATAATCTGTGTGTGATTAAGAAAGCAGTTACCTAGGTATGTGTGTGAAGGAACAGAAAGGAGAGAAGGCACAAAAGGAGCCATGTTTAACAAACTAGGTAAGTAGGGCAGGCCACATGATGTTCTTTGTACTGTTTTCCCTAAGATTGTTTCCCTGACTGAGTGACAGAGGCAGTGTTAGTGAGCTGCAGGGACCACCAGCTGAGTGTGCTGCATATCACAGCGAGGTCAGGACAGGCACATCCAGTTCTCTCTTCCTCAAAACTAGTTCCACGTTAGTGCTCTTATTTTTATTCCTTGTTTTTCATGCAGATATACTATCTTCATTTTGCTCCCATAACTATATTTTCCTTGTACAACTTTGTAACTTTGTTGAACTTAGCAATTTCCCTTAACTGTAGCTCAACTAGACTGCCCTAGTATCAGTCAGGTAACCTAGACAGGAAAGCTAGAATTCTCCTGTCCTTCATAAAACAAACAAAACAAAACAAAAAACAGAAGCACTTTAGGGCATCTGACTCAGCAAGCCCAGTATCCAGCTTGGTGGGTTTCAGGGAAGTCACATCCAGCCTCACCCCATAATAAATGTCATGCTTATTTGTACCTCAGTCCACTGCAACTACTAATCTTTCACTTCTGTGGATTTCCCTACTGTAGATATCACATATAAATATAATAATTTATTGTATGATCTCATATGACTGGCTTCTTACACTTACAATGTTTTCAGGATTTTTCCATGATATACCATGTATTAGAACTTGGTTCCATGTTAATTGTTAAGTAATGTTGACTGTGTACATATTCACTTTATAAGTTGGATGACATTGATTGTTTTAATTTTAGGCTATCATATGAATGATATTAATATGAACATTTGATTTTGTGTACATTACATCTAAGTGAAAATGTATTATAATTTCTCTTGTGTAAAATGGGGCTTTAATTACCAGGTTACTAAGTTAAATTCATATTTGCTTTTGACAAACTCCTGGAATATTTCCAAAGTTGGCTACTATATCTTATACTCCCAAGAGCAGTTTTGAGCATCCATTTTCTTCAGATCAATACTTGTGATTATGTATAGCTTCTTAGTGGATGTGAAGTGGGCTTCTGTAGTTACAAAACTTCACAACATGATCAACCCCCAGTAATAAAATGAGTTCCACAGCTTTCTAGCAGTAAATTTTTCTCCTGGTTAAGTATCAAACAACTACATTGAAATAAAATTTCATATCTTTTCGATTCCTTTATTCCTCAAAAATACTTTGAGATTACAAAGAGAGATTAGATTAAAAAAAAAAAACAAACCCTTTTCCTTTTTTAACCAAGTTCTGCTGACCTTGGACTCCTCGACTGAAGCCTACCTCAGCATCCCTGGTAACTGTGACTACCAGCATGTGCCGTTGTGCCCTGAAACTTGTTGGGTGAATGCCCAGTCCAGTGAGAAAACGATGAGCGTGTGCTCCTGCCCCCGTGTTTGCTGCTGCCATTCTATTCTAGGAAAACCTTCCTCATACCAAGTCCCCGTGGGCACCTCAGAGCCCTCTCCTGCAAGACTTCAGACTGAGTTAGTTCTCCACACTGTCCGTTAACTTGGATTTGTGAGCTCTTCTGAGTGCTGATTATTTTTGACATGGTTACTTTGGGGGGGGGAATGGATTTCTTTTTCATTCAGCATACTTAAACACATATTGACAACTTTGGAAATATAACTTGATTTCAGATTAGAAATCTCTTCTTCCTGCAATTGAACAAAAGAAATTGAATTCCTTCAATTTCTTACTTGGTGTCAAGAGGTCTTAGGTTGACTTCATAACCAGTGTGATAGGTTACAGCTTTGGCAAACCAGTAATCTCTTTTATAAAAATTAATAGTCTATTTTATTACAGATTTCTATCGAAAATGTAGAGGTTGAATTTAATTTTGACAATATATATTTATGAGTATTTATCAAAAGAAAGGAGAAAGATAAAGTAGTAGTTCTTTTTCCCATGTTTCACCTGGGCTCTAGGGCAGCAGGAGATACTTCCTGCTCTGCTTCCTGAAAAGCCAGGGTTCCATATGCTCGAGAATTGATCTCAAGCTGTGAAGTGAGCTATATAATGTCCCGGTCAGGTTTGCCTTTGGATAACAACATTATAGAGAATTAGGCTGTAATGGCATCATCATGAGGAAGGTTGATATGTGAGTCTTTTCCTTAAATCTAAACTGTAGCTGATACAGATTAATTTAATAAGGTAGTTCATGTTCTTTTTCCTAAAACCACGTACTTAGAAGTAAAGATGAGTGCTCACTTCCGCAGCTCATGTACTAAACTTGGAATAATACAAAGATTAGCATGGCCCCTGCACAAGGATGACACGCAAATTTGTGAAGCGTTCCATATTTTTATGCCTACTTTGATGCTGCCATGTTCCCACCTTTATGATAATGTACTGAATCTCTGAACCTATAAGCCAGCCCCAATTAAATGTTTTTACAAGAAAAAAAAAGAAGTAAAGATGAAGAAATGGAAGTTCTTAATTTTACCTCTTATTGCTCGTACACACATAATTCCGTACACACATAATTCAGCCATGGACAATTTCTTTTACAAAGACCATAAAAGATAGAATGACGACTACAGTAGTCTTTCCTCTATTCACTTTCTTGGAATACGAAGATAGCTTTGGAGTATACACAAAGGTTTTTTCTTTCCTTTGCTTTTAAAGTTATTACTTATTTTAGTGTTTGCATTCAGCAAAGCCTGTTGCCAGTTGCAGTGTTATTAAGGTCACTATGATGATGTATCAGATGACAGGGCACTAGGGGAATTGGGGCACGTGTGACTCGACAGCCCATTGCCATGAAGTATTGAGCTGGTCTTAGGAAGACTAACTGGTGTTACACAGTGATGTGTTTTCTCTATGGACATTTCGTGCGCCTGAAGCTCAAAGCTATATTTAATGTGACCTGGATATTCTCATTTAACATTCCTTTGTCAGCAAGATATGCACTATCTCCTGGTTAAACAAACAAACAAAAACAAACGATTACAAGCTGTCATCTTGGTAATGTCTTTGTGTGTTGAATTCTTACAGCTCTCTACTCAGGGAGATGCGAGCCAGGTGATTGGACCTCTCACTGAAGGACAGAAGAGGAATGTGGGTGTGGTGAACTCCCTCTTTAAGCTGCACCAGTCAGTAACAAAGGTGACCTTTATCTTTATGTTACAAAGATAAGTATCCAGGAGGCCTGAAGGAAACTGAGCCTCTAAGCCACGTAATGTAGCATTGGGAGGCCAGCCTGTGTGACTTAGCATGATTTATTCAACAAATAACACCAAAAATCAAAGTGTGGTCTTTACATGAATTTTCAAGTGCTACATTATACTTTGGGTAATTTTTAAAAGTTCTTCTATTAGCTTGGACTTCTGAAATACGTATTTCATACTTTAAATGAAAGAGATATTCTCAAGAGTTAGCAGGAAGGTTTCAGAGAAGTAAAATGGCAAGAAACCTTTGAGACTGCACTTTCTGTTTCCTTCAGTCATTTCTCTAAGGCACCAGGGGCCACTTGGATAGTTCTAGTTAGCCAGTCTTTATTAATACTTCTATTGATTTGTAGAAATGGAAGCATCTGATCTTAGTATATTAAATATTTGTGAAAACAATAGTCAGCCTAAAGAAAAATGAATGTTTTTAAAGAAATAAGTAAATATGGCCCTCTTCTGACCTTTATCTTATCAGTAAAATTGAATACCTAATGCTTCCACTGTTAAATGTCTGTTTTATATATTAAAGTAGTTTTCAGTAAATTAGTTTTAAGGTATGAGATATTATTACTATAAAGCCAAGATAATGTGCTAATTATCTTCTGGGAAGTTTTTTGTTATATTATAGTTAAAATTAGTGTCTACAAAAATAAATGACTTAAGCAAAATTATAACTACATCCAAACTCTATTGTAGGTGGTTGCCAGTCAGAGCTCATGCTCAGCAGCGGCTGAGCAGACTATCATGTCAGCTCTAAAGGTAAGGAGATGGAACCCTTGGCTTCATAGATATATCAATGTGGTTTTAACATTTCTTTGGCTAAATAGAAGATTGTTTTCAGAATAATTCATAACAATCTATATATGCCCAAAGTTGCTCATTGTTAATTATTCTGGAGAAGAGATACATATGTGTTTGTATTTTCTAGAACTTAACAGTGGGCTCATTTGTTCTCTGTAGATTGTGTTTGACTTTAAACAGTTGCAGTCTGCAGAGGCAGGAGCTTTTGCACTGTCTCCTGCATCTTATAGCAGACCTTACTAAGTCCTAAAGCAGTGGTTCTCCAGCAGTTGACAATATTGGAGGCATTTGGGGTGGTCATAACTCAAGGTGGAATGCTACAGACATCTAGTGAATGGAGGCCTTCACTCAGCACTTCGTAATGTAAGGGCAGTCACCCCACAACTTCCATCAGTCTGAAATGCCAAGGTTTAGAAATCCTACTTCAAACAATACATCTGTAGGAAAATGTAAAATTAGGGTATATTCTCATTTTAGCATATATGTACCTCTTCTCAAATACTCAGGAAGTGGGGGTTAGTTTGTGTCTGTTTTGTGATAGTGGAGCTCTGGCTGGCTTTGAACTTACTCAGCTCTGCCTTCCCTTGCAGAGACTAAAGGTGTGGGCCACCATCCCTATCTTTTAAGAAGTTTAAGAAACATGATTTTTGTGTGTGTGAGATTCAGAGGCTTTAAAGTACTTACAGCAGAAAACTCTTTAAGCCAAATCAAACATTCATATGGCAGTAATAGATATCCTTCATTTAGTACCACTGCTTGTCAGACATATGCACAGGCATGTGCTTAATAGTACAACCTTGAGTTATGTAGTGTGTATTATACCCATTTTGTATTAGAAACAAAAAAGTTCTGACCCTCATAAGCTTGACAAATAGCAGACCTTACTGGCCAGAAGGCATGTATCTACTATATCTTGCCACTGTAACTCATTCATTACCTCATAATTACTGATTGGTGCCCTATTAACAGAGACACTTAAACCAAACAACTTGTGTACTGCGTCTCAGCCCCTTGTCTTAATTACCAGATTTATAAAATGTTACAGTACACCCAGGGGAGGTGACAAATGTAAACTGTTAGATTGTATGTAGATCATAAAGACAGATGATGGGGAGATAGAAGCCTACAAATAAACGCTAGGAAAAATGAATCCAGAGAGGAGCTGAGGGAAGATCAGACATTGGGGAATATGTCACAGATCTTAAAGGAAAGTGGAGATTTGGAAACCAAATTTTGTCTGTAGGTTCTGGGCTAGTGCCAAACAAGTAATAGGGCAATGACATATATTCCTGTGTGCAGAGATCTGATGACCTGTGTTTGTGTGTGCAGAGGTCTGATGACATGTGTTTATGTGTGCAGAGGTCTGATGACATGTGTTTATATGTACAAAGGTCCGATGACCTGTGTTTATGTGTGCAGAGATCTGATGACCTGTGTTTATGTGTGCAGAGATCTGATGACATGTGTTTGTGTGTGCAGAGGTCTGATGATCTGTTTTTGAGTGCAGAGGTCTGATGACATGTGTTTATGTGTGCAGAGGTCTGATGA